ACATTTTTGTTTTTTACCAAGGCTTTGACTTCTCTTGTGAAAGTAAAGGAAAATAAGGCAATAGTTGAGTGAAATCTCCACAAGAGCGGTGTTTTCAATATCGTCTCCTTTGCACTTAATCACTTGTTGTGATCAATTCTGCTTGTCCATTCAGAACATGTAAATTAGAATGTAAATTACCATTCACAGTTCATCCGGGCAACTAAAATTTGTTCCTTTCAGGTTATATTTTAAATTTGGAATATTTCAGCTGATTGCAACTTGCAGCTGGATCATTACACTTTTAGACGAAGAACACTTGCCATAAACTCTGTTCTAAGGTCTCTTCAATAAATCACCAGCATGAATTACTCCATTGCCTTCGTGGTGGCTTTGATGTTTTTCTCTTTCCCAGGAGGTGAGTTCATCCAATGTTATTTACCTGTTTACGCTGTATTAAATCTTACGTCTGTACGCCATCAGCATTGTCGACTCATCCAAATCTCTATGAAAAGAGTATTATAACTTTAATTGAGGATCGCAAGTAGGCACATCTCATTTTACAGCTATGAATGGTTAGTTCAACCGATGGTAGGGAAACGAAAAATATAATGAAACTTGGAAATAATCCCTGCATAACGGATAAACTCCAAATACAGTTCAGCACACGCTGCTGCGGAAATACACGGGATACAACTTCTGCAAATTTCTCTGTAGAGAGCATAGTTTTCTCAGGAAGGCTGTTGTTTAATCAATGCAGAGTTTGATGCTTTAAATCAAAATAACAACATGTATCCTTCGAAAAACAGCTATTCGTAAATTGTGCAATATTGCAACCCTCGTACAGCAGATTTTCCTTAAATTATGCTACGGTGCACTAAATATTCGCAGATATTTTTCTTTCTCTTGAAAAATGCTTTTTGTCGGCGCAAAGGTAATCCTATAGAAGTTGATTTCGTAGTGATAAAAACATTTTAATAATTTTAGCGACACCACGTTCATGTTCATTTTCATCACCAAAAAAGGAAATTGTGATAAATAAGAAGATTCACCGCACATGTTGTCATGCCACATGAAGTCCACCAATCAAATATCAATAATTTCACGCCAGGTTGATCACACGATTTCAGTAAGGCATGAGCGTGGATAGGCAGCTGTTACCCAAACATAAAAGAACGTACACGGACAAAAATAAGAATATTTCATTATTTCTAATGTTTTCGAAACCCCCTAAAGAAAATTATTTACTTCGTTCTCAACAGTATTCCTAGCTTACAAAAATGAAGCACATTGAAAGCTTTTTGAGCGCGCTTAAATTTGATTGGACTTCTCACTGATGATAAACTTCAATTACAACGAAGTTATTTTCATTTTTATCGTTATTTATTTTAAACATGGTCCTTTACATCTCGTGTGTGCAAATATTTGAAATTTGTCAGCCGTAAATATATTGTTCTTGTGGGGAGATTTGTATTTATAAACATTTTCAGCTTTTATGTTTCAACATACATAAATGCTTGCGAAGAATGAGACATTTAAAAAGATTTTTAGCACCAATCAACAAGTTTTTCTATTATGATTCATTTGAAATCCGCAACTGTATACATATTGAAATTTTTAGAGTGGTAAAAGAATATTTGCATCATGTCATCATGCTCCGTAAAAATTCTAATTCAATCGAGATTTGTCTTAAGCAGTTACAAATTACTCGTCACTTTGCTAGATATGTTTGAGGGAGGCATTACTATGTTCGAAATTTTGAAACAGTTTCAGCACTTCGACCCTTTTTCTCCCCCTTCTCTGGAAAATCCTGCCGGACTTTATCCTAACCATCACGCTTTCAAATCCCCTTTCAGTCTCGGGGNCCCACAACTACGGCCACACCCACAACTACGGCCACACCCACAACTACGGCCACACCCACAACTACGGCCACACCCACAACTACAGGCGGCACAGGCCAAGTACGATCGTCCCGATTTGGGTTACTTTCCGTATTTCTTATCTTCCTTATGAAAAGTCTCTCTTAATCTAACTGTTTCTCTGAACTCATCAATTGATAGTTTTAAAGTGTGAGTGTTACTCCATAGTTCTATAGCACAACCAGTATATCAGTGTTCGGCTAAAAAGTCCTGGAATATATGTTAATTTTGTGTGATCATGCTGTTATGAACTGTTTATTAGAAAGCAAAAACTCTCAACTCTGATATTGTAGACAACTTTCAAGATACTAGGCAGTTTATAATAACAAACGATTTATATTTTCTTGTGGACGCATATATGGTTAAAATCATGTTGAGTACCAGAAACGAATAGAAGCACGTACACAATAATGAGAAGAAAAAAAATATAAACTTTGCCAAGCGTTTCCCCGCCATCTCACTGGGGGGCGGGGCCATCTCAATGGGGGGGGGGGAAGAAGTTCTAAATTGCCTCTACATAAACGAGTCCTATCTATACCTTTCATGCCAACCTAATTGCATGGACAGGTTATATCTGCCATATATCCGGGCATGCCCAAACGTGTTCATCATCGACCTACCTGGACAACTACTTAATCCCTAAAGAGGACCCGCAATTTTGAGCTTGATTGTGGAAAGGGTGAGAATTTATTCTTACAGCTACATGATACCCAACCGCAGAGTTAAGAAGTTGGTTTGATAATCACTTTTTGGAAATTCTATATATCGCCATATTTGTGCAATTTCCAATTAGCAACTTGTCTCTCAGATAACTAGTTTTTTACGGCCATTTTTTCCAAGAGACTCTCATAAAATACCTGAACATTTTATAGCTTACCCCTCTATTGTTTTTCACTTGTTTATCCAGTTCTATTTTGTGTGCAATCAGTTGACGCAAAATAGCGAGACCTCTGTGAGCAAACAGCTCATATATATTCTAGTAATAACTATCCTAAATGATAACAGCGTCCGTAGCTTAACATGTCAATAGCTTATCTATGCAGATTATGGCGAAATCAATCAATGAACCCCACGTAAGCGGTTGTTTGACGGAATAAAAAAGCGTGTGTAAACAGCTTTTGATGAAAAATTGAATTGAACCTTTTTTGTGAGGGAAGATGGTGTTTTTTAATTTGTAGTTTGGGAATAAATTGCGTCGGTTGCCAGGCTACAAGATGGCTTTTGGTGGCAATTCTACTAAAAATCTGATAATGCAAATCAAAATCAACTGCCTGAGACAAAGTTTCTTCACAGGGATCTAGAATCTGAACTCACAGAAAACACCGCTTTGAGCTCTTGTCTCATTGATTTCTCTCATGAAGTCGAAAATAGTCTTTGCCTTGCTCCTCGTACTTATTCTAACTTTAGTATTCTATTGGAGTTCTCTGATGATCTTCGATCGTAGAGGAGGACAGTTTGGTAAGAATAAACTTTGCTAATCTTGAACAGTCTTTGTGTACTAGAAAAAATTAGATGTCAAAGAATTAGAAGCCATTTTGTAGCCTATAACTCTGCGTTTAAGTTTTTGTCTTTTGCTAGTCAAGAAAACATATGGTCTACTGTTAGGAAAATGCTAATAAAAGGGGAAACCACTAACATCTACGAAGATACAATCGGGAGGGCCGAAGTTGCTGCCTTCTACTTAGTCTGAACGTGTTCTCATGGAGTGGATCATTTTGAACTTTGTTTCTTTTATCTCCTATTTTTTCTTCAACCACTCCAGCCGCTCGAGCACAAATTTTCTTTACAATGAGCGGATACTATTCTCATAAAAATAGATACAAACTCCCCGCAATGACCGCACAAAAGAGTAGCTTCTGTTGTTGAGCTTTCAAAAGGGTCTCAATGGGTTGATGGCTGCAACGGTTAACGGTTAAAATTTTCGCCATTTTACGGCTAACGATTAATTTCTTTCTTTTGCGTTTACAGAGAAAATTTTCCAGTTGACTTTGTTTTTCGTCTTGAAGTTAAAATTTTGACAATTTCTACGCCTAACGGTCAATTTGTTTTGCCGTTTTACGACTAACGGTTAATTCCTTTGAGATCCTCTTTCAACACTCAAAATAAAAGGAGAGATAATTGAGAACTATGAATATCCTTGCACAAAGTTAGGCTCGTAAAACCTTGATCCTTATTTGATGCAGACTAAGTGTTCACTATGCGATAATGACAATATTCACAACTTGCGGAGTTCAATTCTTCTATGTCAGCTTTAATTATTCAAAGTATCAGGTCTGTTTCATATCATTGAGTCCGTTTGAGAACTAAAACATTAAAGACGTGTACTACTCATGAAAATTTCTTTTTTACTTCCAGTCAATATACCCCGGATAGTATCAGTTGCTAAGGGATTCAAGGTAGGTGATTCGTCTCGAAAATGGTTGTAGAAGATATTTTTGTCTTTAAGGCGCTTAATGTCAACTCCCTAATTTGGTTTTCATCAATGGGTTGCCGTGGTTAATAGGTACGAATCCAGTTTATGATATGATATGATATGATATAAAGCCTAGCCATCGACAAACAAAGTTTTAGTCTCAGATTTAAAAACAAAATCAATGCAGGTAGGTTTCTCCCATTGCAGGAAGCGCTCGACGGGTCGAAATCAACACCACGAACGCTCCAAGACACTCAGGAAGCTAGGAAACGATCAATAATAAACTACTGCCTCAAACATCCACACAACAGAAGACTAACCGACCGGGAACTTACATTTGTGATTGTGGATGATGTACATAAAATTATTTTCTGTTCCGTTCCGAAAGTAGCTTCTTCGACGTGGAAAAGAGTGTTGGCGGATCTTCAAGAACTCAGACAAGGAATATATGTTCACCGACCAAGCTTATGGCGTCGCCTTGGCGAGTACAGTGAGGAAGGACAGTCACATCGACTTAAGAACTATTTCAAGTTTATTTTTGTTCGAGAGCCACTGTATCGGATCCTTTCCGCTTACAAGGACAAATTCATCGGGAAGAATCGTGTCTTTAGTAAAAATATTCGAAAAATGATCATAAATAGCCTTCGTTCCGGGGATTCTGGGAAATATGGACAGGTTATGGAGGG